CAGTCTGGGAATCAGCGTGTTTTTACATGAGTAGGATGTATCCTTTTATTTAAAATGCATCTCTGGGTTATTTGTGGGGCATAGGAATTCATTCATATATTTTTTTCAAAATATAGTCCGGCCCCCCACAAGGTCTGAGGGACAGTGGACCGGCCCCCTGCTGAAAAAGTTTGCTGACCCCTGTTCTAAATGGTCACTGTCCTTACAACAGGCTCCTCCGGACAGACCTATTCACTGGGCATTCATCCTGATCTGCTTGCACAAAGGTTAGGCTAAGTCTGGTCTTTACTGAGCATTCGTTCTGATTGGTTTGTGGGGAGGTTCTATCACAATGACTCATCCTGATTTGCTTGCTGCAGTGAATGAATGATGTACGCAGTGAATGGGAAGAAACAGGGTGTGATGGCCTGGGATTCCGAGTCTGAGAGTGAACCGGAGGAATCCCAGCCGGCACAGGAGTCCCCGCCTCCAGGGCCGGCTGAACTGGGGCAAGGCCTAGATTCTGAGGAGCCTGCACCTGTGCCAGATCCTCAGGAGCAGGCACCAGGTGAACCCATTCTGGCCCCAGAGGTGCTTGAGGACTCAGTGTCTACAGGTGAGCCTCCCCCGGGGCCCAGTAACCCTTCGGCCTCTCCTGAACTGCAGAGGCTTAGGGCAGAGAGGTGAAGGGAACTGGTTTCTCCCAGGAGGACTGCTTGCCTTAAGGCCAGGAGAGGCGGGTCTCCTGGGGGCCGGGACCGCCCCTGGCCGTAGAAGAAGATAAAGGTCAGTCAGCCCGGTCCCAGGTTGCGGGAGCAACGTCGTTGTGTAGTACCTGTTCTTACCTGGACCTAGATCTGCATTTCCAGTGTTCCTGTTCCTCGCCCGGCTTCCTGCTTCTGACCTTCCAGCATTCCTGTTCCTGCCCGGCTCCCTGTTTCGGACCTTCCAGTGTTCCTGTTTCCTGCCCAGCTTCCTGCCTCTGATCTTCAAGTGTTCCTGACCCCGCCTGGCTCCCTGTTTCGGACCTCGCGTCTCATCTTGTGAACTTTGGCTACGGTAATAGTACCTTCCCCCCCGGGACCAGCACACAGGGGCAGGGGGCGGGAAGTGATACAATACATACATTGCCATACAAACAAACCAGCATGAACATGCAATAAGGACCAGATATGCTTTGTGCAAGCAAAGCAGGATGAATTCTCAATAAACAGGTTGTTTGGAGGAGCCCCAAGACACTGCTTTTTAACATTTTGCAAGAACACCGTCAGGCAATGTGTAAAGGGCACTTTGGAAAGTGAGGAAGGTGGGACTATATCAAGAGTGTTGGTGAGGGCAGAGATGGGCCTCTCCCTCTCTCCTGTGAGAGTGCTAGTGAAAAACGAGGATGGCGAATGGAAAAAATTCTGCCCCATTTGCCCTAATGGCCTGGCCTCCACCGCATCTTGATACTGTCCTTCAGAAACCTGGCCAAGAAAGCAGATACAGAAACAGAGGATGGCATATTTTACTAAGATTTTGTTTTATTATGTCTGTTTTTATATTTCAAACCCCAACCCTACAGCACTTCCCCACCCCCCCAAAAAACACAACCCCCCGAACTTTTTAGCTACTGGGTCAAACCTAATGGGGGTCTTCAGCTGTGGTTAGTGATTTGGTACCTGCTGCAGCAGAATTCAGAACCCTGAACATCGTTTATCATCAAACCAAGCCAAAGCACCTGTCTACAACGGGTGACTTTTTCTCAATTCCAAGAGAGGCAGTTGGGAAAACAGGTGCCCGGGGAAGGGAGGAACAGGGGCAAGGGGGGGGGGTACTCTGAATGCAGATGTGACCATCCCAGTTTCCAGGATGTGCTCAAAGATGTGGTATTGCACAGCACATAATTCTTCACTGTACTGGCCACCTGCAAACTATTCACCTTCATCCCTGGGAGACAAGCTGTTGAGTTCTATCAAAATATCTTGATTACCAGTGGGGGCGAGGGGAGAGAGAAAAATCTTCAAAGCTGATCTCTCCATTTTGGTTGCAGGTGCCTTCGTTTTTTCCTTTGGGGGCATGAGATGGGGGCACAATACTCCTCTACACCGTGTAGGCAACACGGTGGTCTGCAGATGTTGCTGGTCTGCGGCTCCATTGGCCAGGCTAGCTGGGGCTGAGGAGACTTGGAGTGCAACAACATCTGCAGGGCACCACATGGGCTACTCCTGCTTAAGCATTTTGAAAAGGAAGGTGCGTGCCATGGAAGCAATGGGGCCAATTGTATTGTTGCCTTTTTACACGCACCTTGCTTAGCTCCAGATGTCTCGGGGAAGCAGGCGTGCCTCCCTCCTTTTGTCCTCACAACAACCCTGTGAGGTAGGTTAGACGCAAACAGATTGGCTGGCCTAGAGTTAGCCAGCGAGTTTTGATGCTAAGGGGGGGGGGAATGGAACCCAGGTCTCCCTGGTCTGACTCCTGACGCTCCAACCTGCTACACTCCACAGGCCTAAGTTTAGACATGTTGAATTTGCTGCATTGCTTTCAACCTGCACTTAATCGCAACAACTAACTTTAGCTGCCTATGGCCCCTTCAAGGAAGGTCAGTATTGGCATATATTTTAAAACTAGAATATATATATATATATGTATGCGCAGGTTTGTATGCATATGGATGCATATGTGTTTGCAGCATACACACATCTGTACACACACACACATCTATATAGCTGTATTATCTGTTTTAGTAGAAAATATCCCCCTCCCCTCCCCCCACCGAGTTCCCTTGAATCTGTAAGGAAGACCGAAGCTTGAATTACACCTTAGTTCCAACCCAGCAAAGCGCTTAAAAGCAGGAGCAGCTGGCTATATTTGGGGGGCAAACATTCGGAGATAACAGGCACATATCAAGAGGTTTTTTTGTGTGTGGTTTTCTTTTTTTGCAAAAACAAAATTTTGGTATAAAATCAAGCGAACTGGGGAAAGCCCAGGGGAGCAGGAAGATTCCACAATACTATTGTTCTGGTGAGTTTTGGCACCGCTGCCGATAGCCTGGCTGCCTCCTAACTCTTTGCTCTGGATCTGTGGAACAGCAGAAAGAATATTGGAAAACCTGGGTAACAAAGAGGAGCAGGACGACTTGGTGGAAAACAAGGTGCAAGAGATGGAGAGGTCATTTCCCCCTCCAGGTATGCACAGACACATGTTGGAAGGAAGGTAGGGAAGCTGGGAAGATGAAATGGATTGGTACAGGAGCGATGAGGTTGCAGCATGGGATATCTGCCCACCAGCTTGGTTTATCCATTAAGGACTTGTCTTGGGCCATGGAGACCTCTGTTGATCAGGGATGCTCAAAAATCTACCTAAAGGAGCACACAGGATCCTCCCAGCCTTGTGGGAGTTTTATTGCTCATTATCATTGTACACAGTAAAGTCTGGTTTCTGCAGCCCTTTCAAAACAGGGGCAGAAACACATATATGGCAGGGCTGGTGCAATTGCTGAGCGCGTCGTCATAAAAATAGGTATTGATGGGAGGACACCCTCCAACTCTGTGTGTGTGTGTGTGTGCGTGTGTGTGTGACGCCAGCTGTGATTCCTTGGTGGTGTGATGGACCGAGTGTGATGGGACTGTCAAATACATGTTCTTACTGAATTCTCCCCCCGCCCCCCGCAAGCCCTTGGCTTCCATACAACAGCAGGCAGCTCATCACAGCCCTGTTGCCATGCTAAGAGCACTGCAATGCCCATGGATGTGCCAGCCAGTCTGATGCAAGAAGGTTGGACGCACCTCTGTAGTTGGCACATCACATTCGAAATGAATGATACAATGGGAGGTCCCTTGTTCAGTGGGCAAGCAAACGCTCTCATCATTTTGCACTCTTTGCCGAGGTTGTCTGTTGCTGCTAGAATTTCGGCAGGGCATAACAGGCCCAAAGAGCCCCACTGGCCAGCCATGCAATGATGGATACAATGGAAGAACATTGAAAGTATCATGTTTGGCCTAGAAGGAGCTTAGGAAAAAAACCCAGAGCGTCTGAAAGCAACAAATGCATTAGGAACAAAGTCTTACTAATGCCCTTCCACAAAACGCAGCAGAAACTGAGTACTGACATCAAATGTTTTGCAGACCACTGAATCCCAAGTTTTGCCATGTCCCAGTGTTGATTTCTGAATTTGCTTGCTCCTCCCCTCCCCTTCAAAGTCTTAGTGGCGAGTTGACCACTAGGTGGAACTATTTGAAGCTTGCTTGCTGTTTTCTGGGGTGAGTTTTTGAAACCCAAACACAATGTTGTGGTCCTGAGGCTGGAATCTGAAGTGAAGGATGAGCACAGGTTAGGTCGGAGAAGGGGGACCTGTGACCCTCCCAGATACTGTTGGACTCCAATTCCCATCATCCTCCAGCAGCAGGGACAGTGGTCAGGGATGCTGTGAGCTGTAGTTCAATAGCATCTGGAGAGTGATGGGTTATTCCCTTTCGCAGTCCCTTCCCTATGTGCCATTCGCTATTCCATTGAAAGCTGTGCAGGGGAAAGAATACAAGCACTTTAGTTTCCCCCCAGTAGGGTTCAGTGCAGAGGGCGAGGTGTTATAGGGATGGAAGGGAATCTGTCAATTTCGGTTCTGTCACCTTCTCTTCTTTTCCCAATCTTAAGTTCAGTTCTCCATTTTGCAGCAATTTGTGATTTGTTTTTAAGTCCTCATGAAAATTCATCAGCATTTCCCCCATTTGATGAATTTTTGCCTGCTGTTTTGACTAATGCACATTTCTGCAAGCAATCTTCCCTAACATAATGCATTTTTTATGCTGTTGTCACAAAAATATTCATTTTAATGCACAATTTTGACTAATATACAATTACAATTGTTATTCAGTTAAGTTAGAGAACTGCATTGCAAAATTCAGGTAAATGTGAATTTTGAATAATAGCTGTTTTGGTTAGCATACTATTTCAGAAAATGTGAATTTGATAGCTTTGCCTTTAAATGCAACTGAATCAAATTTCCCCTCCATCCCTAGAGAGGGGGATGTGTGTGTGTGTGTGTGTGTGTGTGTGTGAGAGAGAGAGAGAGAGAGAGAGAGAGAGAGAGAGAGACTGAGTGAGTGTGTGTGTTTTCAGCAGAAAAACAACAGGGCACAGGGGTGGAATAGGTTTAAGAAACCCCTCCACAAATTTAGTGGAAAGAGGGTCTAGAGGTATGAACCATTTCAATTCTGGCAATTTGTGAAAGTTTGGTTCAACGTATTTCATTCCCCCTCAAGGGGAGTGAATTCTCATTTCTTCTTACTTGTATATCTTTCTGAGATCCCATGTGTAACCTCTTCAGATCTAATTGGAAATTTGGCATGTGGACACGGGATTCCAGATCTTATCAACTCAAGAGGTGACCCCTAGATTCCTGGCACTGATTTACATCAATGAGAGATCTGTTTCTCCAAAGGGAGCCAATTTTCTTATCTTTATCCTTTACATCAGCTGCACATCTACTCTCTGAGTTGTTCTTATTATCATCACATATTGATTACATTCCTTCCCCCACCCCCCAATCTTTTGCTCCGTGTAGTAAAATACTCTATAAAAGAAAGTGACTCAAAATCTATAGCTCTAAGAATACCTGGTTATCTTTTTTGCTGCTGTTGTTCTCCTTATTATTTTTTTTAAAACCTCTAATCATAGTTAGCTTGAAGAAAACAAAGGAAGAAAATGAGAGTCATGTAAAAGTCTATTGGGATCTAAAAAGCACAAATGAAATAAAACCGGCTCCTCCAAACTGTGGCCAAGAGGGATGGCGGCCAGAAAATGTAGGTGAGGGGGAGAGAAGGAGAGCATCTCATAAATTGGAGGGCAGTTTTGATCGGATGGGCTCTCGTTCCCCAGTGAGCCCTATAGACCCTTTCCTCCCTTCGACAGCAGTCACGACAGCAGTCAGAGGTGGGGGGATGGCGCAACTGGCCTCAAATGCAGGTGGCGGAGGCAGTGAACCTGAGGACATCTGGCGTGGTAGAGTCACTCGCCCTGGTACAGAGCTGTATGGCTTCCCTAGAGGCCTGGTCCCTCCTCCTCCTCCTGCTCCCCCTCCTCCAGAGAAAGATGAGAAACTAGAAACAGATTCCCTAGAGGAGTGGGGAGAAGAGCCTCGGCTTAAAGTCTGAGCCGTTTCGTGGGGCAGAGTTGGATGGGAAGCAGAGATGAACTTGAGGTCCTGGCTTAACCGTCCCGGTGGAAGCGGCGGCGGTGGCGTACTCCTGGGCTGAAGGACCTGTAGAGGTGGACTGGAGGTCTGAGGCATCAGCAGAGATCCATGGGAGCCCCTTGCCCCAGAAGGGGCACACTGCAAAGTCCTGGCTGCAGCACATTGACTAGGAGGGCTAAGGCCTGAGGGTGGGAACAGCGGAGGAGGGGCACCGGCGGGCTGTTTCAAAGGAGACATAGAGGCAAAGGGTGACCTTTCGTGGTGCAACTGAGCTACGGTCGCAGCAGGAGAAGCGGAAGGTCCTAATGCACTTGGCTGGGTTTGGCACGAGGCCGACGGGGAGCCTCCGGAGGCCTGTGCCAGCTGGCTTAAGCTGGAGGGCGGTGGGCTTGAGGAGGGAGGCAACGGAAAGTGGTTCGTCCCTCCCAGGGCTCCAGTTCCTGAGAGCTGCTGGGCCTGGCCTGGCTGGGCGGGCTTGTTGCTGCAAGCGGCTTGGGTGCGGCCAAGGGGGCTGCCGGGGGAATTGGAGGATAGCTGGGGGAAGGCGGTGGATGGCGAACTAGCAGGGGCCTTCTGGAAGGGGCCAAAGCCACTCAGGAGATTGCTGTCGGGAGCCTGCTGCTGAGCCACCCCTTCTGGGGAATCCGAAGGCCCCTGGTGCAACAGGCCCAGGCCTGCCGAGGACGGGCTCCCCAAGGGCTGCTGCTGAGTCGAGGCAGCCGACGGGGAGCCGGCCGAAGCCCGGTGGAACTGGCCCAAGCCGGCCGAGGCCGTGAAGCCAGCCAGCTGCTGGATCTGGAAGGACGACGACGAGAGGGTGTCTGCCCCCGGGGTGTGCTGCTGGGATTGCGTGCTTGAAGGGGAGCCCACGATGGAAGGCCCGGCCGAAGACACCAAGGAGTGAAGTCTCCTCAGCTGCCTTGGAGTCTGGTTCGGGGCCTGCCCCAAGGAACCCAGAACAGAGACGGGCGGGCGGAAAATGGCCGTCGGGAGGCGAGGGTGGTGGGTGAGAGCTATTGCTACGGATGTGGTGGCCGCTGCAGCTTGCAAAGGGGCCTGGATCAGTGGCGTCCAGATAACCGGCGTGGGGGTCGATGCGGCGGCGGCGGCCTGGACGTTATGTGCACAGTGGGCCATCTCTCGGTCGTGCTGCACGATTTGCTGGATGATCTCGTTCTCCTGGTAGTTGAAGACACCCGAGTTGAGATCATGCTGGACTTTGTGGAGCAGGATGGAGTTCTTCTTTCCTATAAAGGAAGCAGAAGAAAATTAAGAACTGCAATGAGGGGCCTCCTAGAAGCCCAAACCAGAGATTGCCAACCTTTTGGAGGGTGGGTGTGGGTTGGGACCATACCTACATTGTAACCATGAGCACACACCACCCTATTCTTCTTTCAAGACCAGTTTCGGGGAGGGGAGCAGTGGAAAAAGAGGTCATTGAGTCAAGATCTGAACCCCATTCTCCCAGATCCTAGTTTAAGACTCTCACCAAAATACCACATTGGCATAAAGGTAAATGTAAAGGGACCCCTGACCATTAGGTCCAGTCACGGCCGACTCTGGGGTTGCGGCGCTCATCTCGCTTTACTGGCCGAGGGAGCCGGTGTACAGTTTCCGGGTCTAAGCCATGACTAAGCCGCTTCTGGTGAACCAGAGTAGCGCACGGAAACACCGTTTACCTTCCCGCCAGAGTGGTACCTTTTTATCTACTTGCACTTTGACGTCTTTCAAACTGCTAGGTTGGCAGGAGCAGAGACCGAGCAATGGGAGCTCACCCCGTTGCGGGGATTTGAACCGCCGACCTTCTGATCAGCAAGCCCTAGGCCCTGTGGTTTAACCCACAGTGCCACCCGCGTCCCACATTGGCATACTTGACTACAACTCCCTTCATCCCTGATTGCTGGCCATGCTGACTGGGGGCACCAGGCTGGGGAAGGCTGGTGGCCCTTCTGTCCAGGATTTCTTTTCAGCAGGAACTCACAGGGACTCAGTTCCGGCACCTCTTAGGTGGGCTCCACTGACATGGTAAGAGAACAAGGAAGGTGTTCACGGTGAGTTCCTGGCACCTCTTTTTCTAGAAAAATAGCACCGCTTAGGTCTGATCCACTGTAGCTGCCCTTAAGTTCTTTTGTTATGTTCTTCTCCCTCCATTACATTAAGGACAAACTCGGGGAAGCATTTTCTAGTCTCTTATCTGCTGCAAAACAAATGCAGGAGAAAGAAAGAGTTTTCATTTTCTTCCTCAGCAATGTTCCCGAAAAATTGTGTGCTTTGTTTTAGAAAGCTGTTCAAAGTTGCACAATGAATTTGGGCACATTGAAAAGGGAGAGGGCGAGATTTATGAGGAATAGTCAAGTCAGGTGCAACCAGCCTCAAGATCTCTCTCTCTCCCTCTCTCTATCTTCCCCGCCCCACCCCCGACAGGGCTCCAGCACATAATGCAAAGTGTGTGCGCCATTTGGGGTGGGGAATGAAGTTATCCACAACTGTATCACTTAATCACATTTTAAGCTTGCAATTATTAGCATTTTCCAGTGGTTAACAGCAGCCTTTGTGTGTCCCTCTGATTCTGTCCTGGTCATGCGCCTTTTGGCTGTGCTTTAGAAATCCAGACAGCTACAGGCCTCCCCCCACCTCAAGTCCTTTTGTATTCTTGCATTGTTCTTGGATGCCCACATCATGGAACAGCAGCAGCCCTGTGGTTCTCAAGTGGAGAGATTTGTGGAAGCTGAATTTAAAACACAACACAACCCCCCTCCCCTCCCCCACTTTGGATACAGCGTTGGGTTGGAATAGTGCTGGCTGCACAATTTCTATTGTGCTCTTCTGAATTCACCTGTGTTGCTTCAGCAAATAATAATAATAATAATAAATTTTATTTATACCCCGCCCTCCCCAGCCAAGACCAGGCTTAGGGCGGCTAACAACCAATAATAAAAACAAGTTGATTAAAATACAACTTAAAAGACAAGATTAAAATACAACATTAAAACATTAAGATGCAGCCTCTTCACAGGAGGAGAAAGGAAAAAAGAAAGAGGGGGAGGGAATCAAATTGATTCTAAGCCAAAGGCCAGGTGGAACAACTCTGCCTTACAGGCCCTGTGGAAAGAAATCAGATCCTGCAGGGCCCTGGTCTCATGAGACAGAGCGTTCCACCAGGCTGGAGACAGTGTTGAAAAGGCCCTGGCTCTGGTTGAGGCTAATCTAACTTCCTTAGGGCCCGGGACCTCTGTTGTTGTTGTTGTTTAGTCGTTTAGTTGTGTCCGACTCTTCGTGACCTCATGGACCACAGCACACCAGGCACTTCTGTCTTCCACTGCAGTTTAATCAAACTCATGTTTGTAGCTTTGAGAACACTGTCCAACCATCTCGTCCTCTGTCTTCCCCTTCTCCTTGTGCCCTCTATCTTTCCCAACATCAGGGTCTTTTCCAGGGAGTCTTCTCTTCTCGTGAGGTGGCCAAAGTATTGGAGCCTCAGCTTCAGGATCTGTCCTTCCAGTGAGCACTCAGGGCTGATTTCCTTCAGAGTAGATAGGTTTGATCTTCTTGCAGTCCAAGGGACTCTCAAGAGTCTCCTCCAGCACCATAATTCAAAAGCATCAATTCTTTGGTGATCAGCCTTCTTTATGGTCCAGCTCTCACTTCCATACATCACTACTGGCTGGGACCTCTAGAGTGTTGCTATTTATGAACCTTAAGGCACGGCTACCGATGCAGAACATACTCAAAACTCACCTGCTCCTGTGAAAGTGTGCAGCCCACACATCCATGCGCCTTGTCCCCAATGCCACACACAAACGTTCCACAGAGACAGTATGAGACCTACCTAAGCCAAATCTACCTAGCACTTCCTCTGGAACTTCTAACCATGCAGAGAATGCGTAGGAAGGGCTGTTGCTCAGTGGCAGCCACCACTGCCTCCTGCGCTGCATGAAGAAGTACTAGGTAAAATAGTGTGCTGTTGTTGCACACACATTAAGAACACAGGGAACTGTCTTATGTATGAGTTAGGACATAGATGGATGGGTGAGAAAATGAAGGACAGCACACCCACATCTGCCATACTTAGAACCAGGAGCCCATGTAACCTGCATTCAAAAATAATCAAAATTCTGCGCTAAGGTAAAGCAAATCCTGCTTTTCAAGAAAAACTGCAACCTGCAAATTTGGTTGATTAGTATAGTTTTTGTCTCTTTCTATTGAAGTCACTGGGAAGAATAAAAAGCAACCCAAGGCACTGGAGTCCTACTTCCTGCCATTCCACCTGACACCAAGAAATGTTAGGCTTTGAAGATTTCACCCGACAACAGCTACATGTTTAATGGTTTTGTCTCTGCAGGGCTGGAAGCTTAAGTCTTTTGTTTATCTCTCTTGCATGGTTGAGGGGGAAATGAGTTTGGCTTTGTTTTGTGTATTCAGATTATCTTCTCTCCTGGATTTGTTGGTGAAAGAAAGTTGAATAACGACAAGGACTAGAAACTTGCTTTTTAAAGCATAGAAGCTGAGAACCTCTGGATGCTGAATTTTGCTTCCAGTGCTTCCTTCTACCTATGAGTTTGCAGGTAACTCAATAACCATGTGAGCCACTTACCAATTCTGTCCAGTCTGTCCAGGGCCACCGTTTCAAAAGCCCTCCTCATCATGGGATACTCCTCAAGCACCTCATTAAAGTTGTCCACCGAGAGGGAGTAGAGGCGGCAGTAAGTGTCGGCTCTCACACTCGCCGTCCGCCGGCCACGAGTCAGCAGGCAAATTTCTAGAACGACATAATAAAGGCAATGGCATTTATTCCTTCGCAAGTGCATTTATGTCAGGGTGCCAGCCAGCAATAAATCACAAGAAGGAAGCGAAGCTAACGCTTTATTAGGAGAAGCAAGGAAGACCTGCTTAGGGGTGCCTGGCCTAAATGAGTATGGCAACTCTTCTTGGTAGGTCTTGGCCCTAGGAGGCAGTTGTGGAGACTGAAAATCCCCACCTTCCCACAACTGACTAAATCTCCTCCTCACCAGGCCCTTCTCAAACAATCCGAGACTTCTGACAAACCTGTCTCTGCTACTCAACCGTCACACCTCTTCTGGTTCTGGGAGAAAAGGGAGGAGGGGAGATTGTTGCAGCAGGAGGGGGAGACCCCAATGACTCTTCACCAGCCTGACTCATTTCTGCCTCTTGGTCTCCCTCCTCTCCTGCTTCAGCTTCTGCCTCTGATTCTGAACTTCCCTCTGCCACAGACTCTCCCTGCTCACTAAGGCCTGTCAGCCCTTCAGCTTCCGACACCTCCTCTTCCCAGTCTTCTGCCTCTGAGCCTTCTTCCCTTGGGGGTTTCCCAGATGGCGCCTCCCACCATTCTACTGTGTCCAGCAATTCAGAATTGCAGCCAGAGGGTCCCTATTCTCCAAAACCCACTGAGTGGGTGGTCCTTCTCAGACCCAGAGCCATATTCCCTTCTGGACAATATTCTGGAGGGTGTATATCACTGATAAGCAGGGCAAGAAGCAAAAAAAAAGGGGGGGCGGTAGGATAGATTCCGCACATATTCATGCACCCCTCCACCTAGGCAAGCAAGCAATAGGGGTCATCAGAGTTCAAAGACACATTTCAGGTAGGCAAAGGGAGGGTGCAAGTCAGTATCAGTAAGGGGTGTGGCCTGGAGAGAGGGGTGTGGCTAGACAGGGGTATGGCCTGGGGAAAGCCCCGAGAGAGCAGGGGTAGGCAACCTAAGGTCTGGGGGGCTGGATGCAGCCCAATGGCCTTCTCAATCCAGCCTGCGGACAGTCCAGGAATCAGCGTGTTTTCACATGAGTAGAATGTGTCCTTTTATTTAGAATGCATCTCTGGGTGATTTGTGGGGCATAGGGATTCATTCATATTTTTTAAAAAAATATAGTCCGGCCCATTTTCATCCCCCCCCCCAAATATAGTCCGGCCCACCACATGGTCTGAGGGATGGTGGACCGTACCACGGCTGAAAAAGGCTGCCCTAGAGGGTCACAGCTTGCCCCTGGAACCTTGACCAGAGCAGGTTACTGTGAATTTATGTCATGATGTTGTTAGGCCAGGAATGTCCTGGGCGAAGAATTACCTCTTTATCGTCAAAAGTACACATACAAGTTAGGGAAAGGCATGTCCACCCGTCCTATGTCTCTCATTACTCCTAGGTGTGCACCTGATGAGACAGGAATGCAAACGGAGAGGCCTGCCCCTGGCTTATGTATCTCCCCCCACCCAAGCTGTGAGCAAGCGGGCAGAGACGGTGCCTGCATGTAACTTGCCTCTGCTTCTCCCTCTTCAATCCTCTCCTGGTCCAGGGAGACAGTGGAGCGGGGGGGGGGCAGGAGAAGGGGGTGTAGAAGCCCTTGACTCTGCACAAACCTGATCTCTCTCCCTCCATCTGCACCAGTTTTTCAGTCTCCCATCCTGCAACTTCTCCTGCCCCTGACTCTAGTCTCCCGACTGCTACAGGCTCCTCTGGTTCAGGGATAATTAATAATAATAATAATAATAATAATAATAATAATAATTTCATTATTTATACCCTGCCCATCTGGACAGGCCTCCCCAGCCACTCTGGGCGGCTCCCAACAGAATATTAAAAATAGGATCAAAATCAAACATTAAAAACTTCCTTAAAGAGGGTTGCCTTCAGATGTCTTCTAAAAGTCAGTTGTCTATTTCCTTGACATCTGATGGGAGGGTGTTCCACAGGGCGGGCACCACCACCAAGAAGGCCTGTTCCTGGTTCCCTGTAACCTCACTTCTCGCAGGGAGGGAACTGCCAGAAGGCCCTCAGCGCTGGACCACAGTTTCCGGGCAGAATGATGGGGTGGAGGCGCTCCTTCAGGTATACTGGGCTCCTTCAGGTATACTTTAGGGTTTTAAAGGTCAGCACCAACACTTTGAATTGTGCTCAGAAACGTACTGGGATCCCTTCTTCAAAGTCAGTCTCCAACCCAGCTTTTCCCGGTGCCCCCTCCCCAGTAACCAGCCACCACTCCTCAGAGTGCAGCCAGTCCCTGACATCTTATCACACCTGTTTTGAGCTGCATATTCATATACCGTATTTTTCGCTCTATAAGACACACTTTTTCCCTCCTAAAAAGTAAGGGGAAGTGTGTGTGTGCGTCTTATGGAGAGAATGCAGGCTGTGCAGCTATCGCTGAAGCCATAACAGCAAGAGGGATTGCTGTGCAGCGATACCTCTTGCTGTTCTGGCTTCTGGGATAGCCGCGCAAAGCCTCTTCAGGCCAACAGGAGCGTTCCTCCCAATGCGCTGAAGAGGCTTTGTGTTGCTTTTGCTGAAGCTTTGCATTGCTTTCTTCAACAACATTTGATTCAGAATATTTATTTTTCTTGTTTTCCTCCTCTAAAAACTAGGTGTCTTATGGTCTGGTGTGTCTTATAGAGCGAAAAATACAGTACATAGTGATGATAGATACGGAATTGTTATACTTGTTCTAAATGTCTGGCTAGAACAATCGCTAGTACATTTAGGACTGCCTTCTCTGTATTTTCCTATACGCACCAGTGCTGTATAATCTCTCCCCACCCCCTCGATTCAGTGAAGTATATAATCACACTCCTTTCTTTGGTTCTTTAGCTTATAGGGTGAACTCTCTATCTGGTAATTTCCTCACTGTTCTCACCTTTCTCCTACATAGTAATTCATTCATCTAATTAGCCACTTGGGTTCTGCTATCAAGCATCGTTCCAGGCATGGCTAGTTCATTCAGCGCATGCTAATCACCTCTGCTACACCAGTGGGAACAGTAGGTCATGACACATCTTGCCAAAGCCAAGTCCCTCTGGGGCCGAGGGCTGACGGCGTTTGATCTGACTTACGACCTCATGATCAGAGCGGGTTACGATTGCCTGTCCTGGTGGCATTTGAGCCAAAGGCACTTGTGACTCCCCCTCCAAACCTGACGCCAGGTAGCGATGGAGGAAGAATTCAATCTCCTCCTGCATTTTAATGAGGAAGAACCTAATTTGCATTTTGCGAAGCAACAGGTAAAAGAAACTGAATTATCCTTCGAAGTTCACCAAATTTCTCCATTTTTCGCAATGGAGATCTCCAACCCAGCAATGTGTGCAAAAATTCATATACTGGAGGAATGTGTGTGTAAAAATGGATACCTATAAAATTTGGCAACTCTTGGCTTTCTCAAACTGGCAGGGTCTCGGGCAAATGGTTCTTCCCATCACCTGCTCCCTGATCCTTTTCAAGTGCAGATGGACAAGACTGAACCTGAGACTTTTTATATAGCAGGTGTGTGCTCAACTAAAACTAGCTTTTATGGCTTGGGTTTTGGCCCAAAAAAAATTTCGCAAAAGCTCATCTACTCCTCCCTTTTGACCCATGAATTCTTCCTTTCTTCTCTACTCAATTTCAATGCGACACGTGACCCTTTCAAACTCAGGTCAAAGTGAAGCTGGCTCCACAATTAAACTCATCTTCAGAATTGGATTTACCAATATGGCATAGCAAGCTCAATCCAGGACACTGATAGTCATATGCAATAGCAAGCGAGACAGAGAGAGGTCTGTATATGTGAGTTTGTGTGTCCATTGGTGTGAAGGAGGGAGAGGAATTTGTGCCTGACATGGAAGGATGAGCATGATCCCATAGCCCAACCTACCTTAACCTGATGTCCTTCAGGCGATGTTCACCTACCATCTTGCCTGACCATTGGCCAGGCTTAGCTGGAGCTGATGGGAGTATCTCTATTGATCAACAACACCTGGAGGGCATCAAGTTGGAGAAAGCTGCTTTCGGCCTCTTTCCATCTTTCCAGATAAGGAATTTGATTTCACTTGTAGTGTAACAATTACCATGGACAATATGGACTGATATAAAAGAGTTTGGAAGAAGATGCAGTTTTAAATATTTAAATTAGGACTCCAGGGAAGGGGGATGGAGTCCTGAGATTCTGCGAAATCTCTGCATATGGATATGTATTTGGATTTTTATAACTTTTTATTGGAAAAATCAAATAAAAATTATTTTTTTTAAAAAAAGAGAGAGAAGAAAGCTGCTTTCTCCTGGTCCGATTCCTAGTTCCAGTGTTACACCCAGGGAGGGGGGTGGAGAGCCCTCCAAATGTTACTTGTCTACAAATTCCAGTAACTCCAGCCAGTATAAGTAGTGGTGAGGGATGATGGGAGATGGGGTCCAGCAATATTTTGAAGACTACAGGTTTCCCATCAATGTCTTAACCAGGAAATTTAGGAAAATCTGCCTAAGGCTGATGCCAGTTAAGGATCTGACCTTTCTAGCATCAGGACTGAGCTGCACAGAAATAAAATCCTTACCGTGTTGGGTCACAACCAACACTGAGTTTCCAAGGCTACCTTTCTAGAGATCTCTAAATATGAGAAGTTCTTTGAGCCACAGCTAAGTTTATAGGCTGATGGTTTTCGCTGGATTAACTGCCACAGCTTCCTGTCATGGAATAGCAGGAATGGTACTTTTGGGAAGATGCATGAAATTACCCGATGGAGTTCCTGGGGAGCCTAGGGAGAAATCATGACAGCCCATCCCAGACAGGATGAATTGCTTATGACACCTCCTGTTAGGTTTATCAGTTTGGGCTCTTAATGTAATCCCTGCTAGCACCACTAGGGGGTGCTATGTGTCCCATACAGATGCTTCTCCCACAAAAGCAGTGTGTATATGTAAAAAGTTAGAGATAAACCCACTGGCTTGGCTGTTATATTGTAATGTTATTTGCCTTTTGATTCTGGTTGTTTTTGGTATGGAGATAATAATTGATATGGAGATAATAAATCAAATCTAGTGAAACAAATGATTAGGAAAAAATGGGATTTATGGATAAGCTCACAGCATTATGCAGTACATTTTTTAAAAATGCATTGGTATTATAAAGGTGAGGGCCTGTTGTTCAATATATTCAAAATGAATTTGGGTATAAATGACTTTGGAGTTTTTATTCAACATTCTCTGTTCACTAATGCAAGAATTCTTGTGCTGGAAGACTGGTGAGTTTTAATGTTGCACAACAGAGGACACCAATGCAACAGTTGTGCTAGTGAAAATTTGTTGTGCAACAGATTCTGCAACAAAGTAACCTGCTTGTGCATTCTTTTTGCAAAACAGTGTTCTGCTGGTGCAAAACGTTTCTGCTAAGCGACTTTAACTTAGGGCTCCATTGGACGCAACCCTGTGACACTACATTTAAAGGTAAAGGGACCCCTGAGCCATTAGGTCCAGTCAGTGACCGACTCTGGGGTTGTGGCGCTCATCTCGCTTTATTGGCCGAGGGAGCCGGCGTACAGCTTCCAGGTCATGTGGCCAGCATGACTAAGCTGCTTCTGGCGAACCAGAGCAGCGCATGGAAACGCCGTTTACCTTCCCACCAGAGCAGTACTACTTGCACTTTGACGTGCTTTCGAACTGCTAGGTTGGCAGGAGCAGGGACTGAGCAACGGGAGCTCACCCTGTCACGGGGATTCGAACCGCCGACCTTCTGATCGGCAAGTCCTAGGCTCTGTGGTTTAACCCACAGCGCCACCCGCATCCCTAAACACTACATTTACGAAGCTATAAAATCCATACAGGGCAGGCCTTTGCTTACCTCCAAAGTAGGAACCATCAGCCAGCTTGGTCTCCTTGTTGCCTTTGGTGAGCACACTCACCACCCCGTGCTGGATAAAATACATCTTCTTTCCGATTGTTCCCTCCCGGATGATGTAGTCGCCCGGCTGGAACACCTCAAAACGCAGTTTGGTCAGCATGGATGTTACAAAATTGGGGTCTGCGTTGGCAAACAGAGGCATGGAGGCCACAAGTTTCCGGCAGTTGAAGTTGATGATCTCCTGGTCGTGAGAGAGAGAGAGAGAGGGAATTCAGTAAGCGGTTGTGGTCTTATTTGCTTGTTTAAACCAGGGGTGGTGAGTCTCAGGCCTGGGAGCCTAATGTGGCCCTCCAGACCTCTCAGACAGGCCCATAATACTCTTCCCAGGCTGCACCCACTCTCCCCATCCGGAAACAAAGGAGATACAGTGGCACCTCGGTTTTTGAGCATCTCGGAAGCTGAACGTTTTGGTTTTCGAACACTGAAAACCTGGAGGTAAATGCTTCCATTTTCGAACGCGCCTCAAAAGTCAAACAGCTTCCACTGTGTGTTTTTCAGTTTTCTCAATTGAAATCGAAATTCTCCCTCTGTGCCTCGGTTTCCAAACGTTTCGGAAGCCGAATGGTCTTCTGGGGTGGTTCAAAAACCGAGGTACCACTGTACGCTTCTTATTTTAAAGCTGTTGGGATTTTTCCTTCCCTCCTATGTGGATATTCACAGATTTAACCAATCAGCAGGTTAATCAACTTAACACAAAGGTGTGAGTTGATTAATCTGTTGCCCTCTTGCTACGTTTTCTTTAATAGAGTGACACAGGCCTAACTCTTTAGTGTTCCAGACACACTCTTCAGTCCCCAATGGGGTCCCCCCTTGTTGCGTAACCCCTCAGTCAGATGCCGGCTGCCCCTCTCCTATACAACTCACCTCCCTCAATGGCTCACTCAGCTCTCCCAGGATGCTCTCCTCGTCAAACATTTTGCCCTGGTAGCGGTGTTCGTAGTAGTCGTGGATCCTCTGGCGCATCTCAGCTGGGAGCTTGTGGAAGGACATGTACTGCTCCACTTGCTTGTACTGGGTGGGAGGAAAGCAGAAAAGGAAGAGGCTTTTAACTGGAGTTAAAATGGACCAGGGCATACTAGACACCCCCCTCTCCTGGGACTGCAGGAAGCCATTGCATAGAGTGTCAGGAGCTGTTTCAGAAAGAGTCACGTCAATTTGGTCCAGCGTCCCAGAAACCTAGTGCCAGCCTTGCCTACGCATATTCAGATGTAAGTCCCACTGTGTTCAGTGAAGGTCTGGATTGCGGCCTTGACTTACTTTTATAGGCTTGGCATAAAGAGGCTGAAACCCAGAGTGACCAATCTAATAATAATAATAATAATAATAATAATAATAATAATTTATTTATTTATTTATTTATTTATTTATTTATTTATTTATTATTTATACCCTGCCCATCTGGCTGGGCTTCCCCAGCCACTCTGGGCGGCTTCCAAAAAAATATTAAAATACTGTAATACATCAAACATTAAAAGCTTCCCTAAACAGGGCTGCCTTCAGATGTCTTCTAAAAGTCTGGTAGTAGTTGTTCTCTTTTACATCTGGTGGGAGGGTGTTCCACAGGGCGGGCGCCACTACCGAGAAGGCCCTCTGCCTGGTTCCCTGTAACTTGGCTTTTCGCAGTGAGGGAACCGCCAGGCCCTTGGTGGCCAGGTAGAACGATGGGGGTGAAGACGCTCCTTCAGATATACTGGACCTAATGACCTAATCTAATGATGCACACTCACAATTTTTTTAAAAAACGCATCCCTAAAGGCAAAGAGAGGGAAATGGGGACAGTGAGTAATTTAAGAAGACCACCCAGGACCAGATTGTTAGTGACAATTCCTGGTAAAACCAGCAAAGAGGCAAGTTGAAGACTATCAGATGCATAGAATAATCCACCAAGAGTGGTGGTGGTGGACTAGTAAGCAGCGACTTCAGAAAGGAACTGGGGGTCGGGGAAGATAAGGGAAATGCAATCAGAGCCAGAATGTATGCAAGACAAAGGCCAATGATAAGCCTAGAGGCTCCAGTGTTGGACTGCAACTCATCAAGAAGTTCAACTCCATGCATCTGGGCCTGAATACAGAAAATGGTTTCCTTTCCCACCAAACGTGTTAATTAACTCAGCGCTGCCAAGTTGATCGTTTTAATAACTACCATTGCTGTGGTAAAGGGTCAATTATAGTTCATTAACAAAACAGAGAATTTTTTATGTCACAAAACATTTCGGCTTCCAATTGCTTTGAAATCTGAGGGTTATACTTCATGCATTTGTGAAGTGGACTCAAGCTGATGCATAAAAATTGTTAGCCTTTAGGCTCCTTGTTGCCTGTCTGGAAATTCTTCCTGATAAATATTTATGGGCAGTTGGTTATTTTAGTACCCAATGAATTGTTGTTATGGTTGCCATTATTATTATTATTATTATTATTATTATTATTATATTAACATATATCATAGAAGAGCATAAGGAGAGTCTGATGGATCAAGCCAATAGCTCCTCTAGTCCAACTAGATCTGCAAGCAGAATCTGAGAGCAACACTACTCTGCCCACTTGCTGTTTTCAGCAACTGGTATTCAAGAGGAGCAATGCCACCAACAGATGAAGCTGGAACATAGTCATCATAGCTACTAGCCATGGATAGCTTTATCCTTCAAAAATTTGCCTAATCCTCTTTTGAAACCACCCAAGTTGGTGGCCACCATTGCCTCTTGAAGAAGCAAATTCCATAGTCCAACTATGGGCTGCATTTCTCTCCCCCGAGTCTTCCAACATTCAGCTTTGTTCAGTGTCCACGAGTTCTTCTGAAAGAGGAAGGATAAAAAACTTTTATCCTTCCACTTTCTCCATGCCAGGCATAGTTTTCTAAACTCTTACTCGCATTTTCTCTGAACTAAGAAGTCCCCAAAGGGAGCGAGGGGACGATACACCTCTTCTTTACAGACAATAAGAGAACCCACAAGGCTGGACATCATCTTGAGTTTTCTTCCCTTCACTGAGCTAAAACTAAAACCCATTTTGGGGACAAATCTGCCCACAGCCCTTCTCTTGACTTTCTAGAATATGTTTGCTTAGTTGGGAAGGACACATGCCGAATGCATTCTTTCTGATCTGTTAACGGTGGAGATGTTGGGGAATGCCGGTGGGAAGGCACACAGAGTTTTGAGCTTGTTAATAAAATAAGTATTTATTAGACCCATGGAACAATGCGCAATTATTAAATTGCATACTTGAAAATGTAGCACATGAGAAGACATGCACCCCGTGGACCTGTTTCGTGTCCCCCCGTGCCATCATTTCCTGCCCTGGAATGAGGCCTCTGTGCAGTGCAGGATATCTAAAAAGCCAAGGCAAATCACAAATCTGCCTGGAAGTCATGACCTCAGAACACCTCTTCTCAGCTATGTGGAGGCTAGTTATAATTGCACAGTGGTGCGGGAGAGGCACTTTGCACATGCCCAAGGGCACACTTGCAGAACAGATCTCTGTATGACTAATTAAGAGCATTTTCCCCAAAAGGACTCATTAGAATGGATGTAGCTTATTACCACATCCCATGGCCCAGGGTTGAACCCTAGCTTGAAAAAAACGAATTCTAATGCATGATGCATCCTGGCTCGGATTAAACTCTACCAGTGTTTTCAGTGTTGCATTTTCATGCATTTTAAAGACCCATCTGTCTTTCATACGAACATCGGAAGCTGACTTATAATGAGTCATACTGTGGGTACATCTACTGCAGATCTGTCTACACTGGCTGGCAGCATTTGTGACGTTAACATATGAGAGTGCTGGAGGGGAAATAGTTAAACAGGTTACCCAATCAGGACCCAGGAGGTGGAGTCAGAGGGACTATAAAACCAGCTCTGGGAGGGGCAAAGGGAGGAGTTCGTTGGGAGCTGGGTGGTTGGTTGGAGTGGGAGTGAATTGGGATAGAGTCTGTGGGTAGGTTGAGTTAGTGTAGCGAAATAAGTTGAGTCAGGAACAGTTAAGAGCTAGGAAGACAAGTAAATATCTGAGAGGTGGTTTAGTGAGTGAGAGCAGGTAGCGGAAGTTATAGGTCCTGATAGGCACCCCATGATTGTAATTGACCGATACCGTTTATGAAACCACACACTTGTTAAACCACAATATGTAAACAAAAGTTTATGTTCCAATTTAAACCTGACTGGACTCAGTATTGTAACAGGTATGGCCTGGGTGGTGGCAGCGAGAAATGAAGTGGTGGCACAGGGATCAATAAACGGTGAAACATCCAGGGACCCTGTGTGCTCGCCACAGCATCTCCTCCAGCCCTACCTGGGGATTCAACCTGAGGCTGTTTGCATGCAGAACAGATGCTCTAACCCAGCCCTTCTCAACCTGTGGGTCCCCAGATGTTGTTGAACTACAACTCCCATCATCCCTAGCTAGCAAGGCCAGAGCTCAGGGCTGATGGGAGTTGTAGTCCAACAACATCTGGGGACCCACAGGTTGAGAACCGCTGCTCTAACCCAAGCTAACAACCTGTCTCCTTTCAAACACAGCCCTTCAATTACAGCAATGAAGGGTCAAACTAAATTTTCCACATAACTTTCCCTACTCCAGAAGCAGCCACAGACACTAAGTTCTTGAATAAGGCATTTCAAGTGAAAGGAGAAGAAGGGGCAGCTTCATCTTTTCCAGGAGGTGGGTTTCTCCCCACCACCAACCTCTGGGGAAAAGATACAGGACCCTTACTTGGCCACAGAGCTGCATTGCCAATTTTGGAGTGCAAATTTCAAAGGGGCTGTGTTTCAGCTCACATATTGTTTCAGAAACTGCAGGTTTGAAAGATTCAGCATTAAATGCAAAGGGAATCACATTTCTCCATCCCTCTACACCATTTTCTGCAAACATGAGTGTTACTCATTTGCTGCTGGGATGGCCTGTTCTAGCATGCCTTGCATGATAACCACCTGATGAAGCCAAAGATCAGGGAAGACGGCTTAATGTATTCAAGGAGGCAGAGTGGGGGCTGATGGGGTTCCTGGAACTTCGCTGCCTCTTGTCTCGAGCCGCCCACAGCTAAGATGGTCAGGAATATTCATGAGTGCTGCGACTAATGACCTCATTCAAATGGTTCACCTGCATTCTTAGTGGCTGGAAATCAATTACACTGCTATTAACTAATGGCTCTCTGTTGTAGGAGCACCTCACAATGCTTAACGTTGCGCTCAATGTTGGATGTGCCTCTCTCAGGAAAAAGCAATATGGCCTCCTGTCAGCCGCCTAGATGCCGTTTTACGGGCATCTCTAAAACTACAACATTGTCTCTCCAAATAGCAAACTGGGACACTAGGGTATTGCTAGCTACTTAAAAGTACTTAGAACTATGGTTGTTGGAGCAATTTGATTGAATTTGCATTTAAAAGCAAATCTACGTATACACACTTCTTGAAACAGGACAGAACTGAAAGGCGGCCCATCTTTTGAAATTTGCACTTCTGCGAATTTTGCAATGCAGTTCTGCAGCCAAGTCATAAGTACAAAAATGCATACACCAGGGTAAAGTGAGGAGAAACACGCATATATTGGTGAAAGCAGCCTACGAAAATGCCTTATATTATGGGAATGATGCTTTGCAAAAAAGGTGTGGCTTAGGAGAAATTCACACTAAAACACTGGTGGGTTTTCATGAGGATGTTTTGAATCAATCAATCAATCAATCACAAACTGAATTTAAGATTGGAAAAAAGAGGGGGGAAATAGAGAAACCAAACCAATAGATTGACCTATCCCTAGTGTGAAGGCATGTTTTCATCTCTGAACTTGATTCCGGAGAATAGATAAAGAAAGAGCTTTTAAAAATACATCGAAAAAACTTGATAGCATCAGAACCTTGTACCAGGTAAGTGCCATAATTCTTCCTGTTGCCTCTTCCTTGTACACACAGGGCAGTCTCCTGCAGATGTTCAAATGAGGGTGACAGAACAGTCCTGTGAATATTTCTCACTCCAAGTGGGACAAGGCTAGCCAATGGAGATGGAGTCCTAAACACCTCAG